TACTTAAACTAATTAAATGAGGTTTAGAAATGTTTTCTTGACACCTGAGGCTGGAATTATAGGCAAGTTAATTTAGAAACCAAACTTTGTTTTTTTTATTACAAAATTGTTTAGTTGTAATTTGTGCAGAATGTGTTTTGGCTATATGAATAAAGATCCACATTATGAATTGTTAATTAAAGTATATTTTCGTACATTTAAGTACAGTGTTACTGAACTCTGTAATTTACCAAAGACAGGATTAGCACTTTCAGTTTACGTGCACTGAAATGAAACTATGTCAATCTGCATCAGCTTCTTAGAAGAAAAAATGCAGCTTGAATTGTAAACTCTGAAAAAAAAACCCCAGCTGTTCTATTTAATCTGACACTGTGCGCACCCCTACAGCAGCCAGTTATTATCTCTAAGATGCTGCCAAATTATAGAAACATATATGAAACATAAACCACTTGATTTGATAGTGTGTCTGTTAGAGGTTTAATAGACTAGTCAACTAGACTATTCTAGGACGTGTCGCAAGTTTTTTATATTTGGCATCGACTCGCTGTCACCACCGCCCGCCCGCTGTTCCCAGCCCTATTCCACCCAATCCACGTGGTGGATTAAATAAAATAAAACTAAGAACAGCGGGGCGGAAGAGCTGTCATTTCTAACACGGCAACGCCCGGCTTGAGCCAAAATAATGTGCTGGACGGGCGGGCAGGTTGGTGTCGGGCTTTTGATTGTATCTGCGGACGTGCGTGGCTGACGATCCAATTTGGATCACCACTGGTTAAAAGACGTACAAAAAAGTCCAAATGAATCACTTCCACTGACCCACCTGACGCTCACCAGCAGCTGCATCAGCTGAGCCCGGCTGTTCAAAAGAGGGACAGAAAAGAGCTTTTCACTCAGCTACAGAAAAGTCCAGATGGATGACTGCCAGTGACCCACCTGCGGCTTAACTGGACCCAGCCTCTGTGTCGGGGGACACGCGCGGCCGACAACCATAAGGTGCTCCATCATCATCCACCCTGCTGCCCTCAGTTCCATTCCACCCATCCACGGTGGTGCATTAAATAAGATACAACTAACAGCGGGGCGGGTGGTGGTGGACTCCAGGACCACCCGCTCCGATGTTCTTAGCCTTGTTTTTTACGTGCCGCACGTTTCTTTCACTTTTGCAGCTTGATAGTAGTTTTGGTTTTCCTGTGACTTATTTGCAGTATGGCAAATGGTAGGAGCATAAATATACACCCACTGTTTGTTGTTCTTTTTTTTGTATAAATAATAAATGACTTTTTTTTTTGGGCCAATATGACATAGCATCTTGAGTTCCTATGATATCATCAACTAGTCAACGTCGACTCAACTTTTATCATCTTAGAGTCAACTTTAAACAATATGTAGTTTAACCCCTAGTGTCTGTGCTAATATAAAAACATTAGCGTGTGTGGAATATTTTACAGGAAGAAGACCAGAGAGTTATTTAACAGACCAGACAAGTGGAGGCCACAAGATAAAAAATCCACCTTCTCCGTCAAATCAGTCATCAAGTTCAGTTTAGAGGTAAGCCTGATGACCAGGGTAAATTAAATTTGTGTTACATTGACATTATACACATTTTTTTATTTCAGGTCTAAGCATGCTCAGGTGTTTTAGGGGTCCGTAACACCCTGAACATTGGGGTGATTCCTGTATGGAAGCCATTAAAATCTATAATGTTTTTCTGAATTTGGGCTTCCACACGGATCAATGTGTTTACTAGTTAAATTAACTTTAATGACTAAATAAAGTTGTTGCTTTTTTAATTAGCAACCTAACTATGTTTGTTTCTTGCCACTTGAATTTTTTTCTGTTACTTCATCTTCAACAGCTTGACAGGTTTGGTGGCGTGCCTCAAGGCTCTGTCATCGGCTTCCTTTTGTTTTCTTTTCATACGCTGTTTCCAAGCCAACTTGTTTAAAAGTATATATACCATCATTTTATATGCAAGTGACTCTGCTGTTAAAACAACCTTATAAACCTCACAGAAGAGCATCCTTCACACTACAGTTGCGGAACATGGATGCAAAGAAAAATCCTCTCAGTCGTAATTATTGTTCACACATGAATCAATCAAGCTGCCCAAGTTCCTCAATACTGTGTTTTTAAAGTTGGTCATGCACTTGGCATATGGAGGGAGTTTCCATAAAGTCTTGTGACGTTTGAAAAGTTCTTAACTTCTCATGAACTGCAGAGGTGTAGAGCCCTTCGGCTTAAGTTTTGAACATGTTCATAAAATCTGTGAGGCAGTCTTTCTTACAAAATAGTCTCAAAGTTGTTGTCTCTAAGCCATCTGAATTTTTGCCACAGGCATCTCCAACACATCTCCAAAGTACTAGAACTGTATTTTTCCACCTGCACAGGAGCTCTTTGACAGAAACTCTGAGGCAAATGTTCAGGTCTAAAAATCTATGTTGAAAAATACTGGTACTGGTCCAAAGCTGCATTAAAACGTGTACTTCAACAGATTAAATCCTAGTTGTTGGGGCAGCTGCAGAAGTGAGCCAAGGTGGGCAGAGGTGAGCAACAAAATAATGAGCACAGGTAATAATACAGGTGTGTACACAAACAGGCCATGATATTTAAAGGCCGGCTATTCAAACTGTGGTCAAATGGCTTGTTGGTCCCAAACACTTTGAGGTCGAGAGAATACACTTAGGTACAACAAAGCAGAAAATCTTTTCCAATTAAGTATTGTGCCTAAATATTTTATTGTCATCCTTTGAATAAATGTTGTATTATGGATATTTACTTGATGCAAAAGTAATGTGGTATAAAATCTTACTATTTTAATTTTATGATAATTACTTTAAAGTCTCAAGTTGATCAGAAATAAAGGCAATGATGTAGGGAGGGACAAAAAGGCAAAAACCCAGCAACTAAAAAACAGTTTGGCTGCAGCTACTTTTAAATCTGTTGTTGATAACTTTTTGAACAACCCTAGTTTATAAAAATGGAGTTGAATTCTGAGCAGAGTGATGAGCGAATGGCTAGTCCAGGCGGGGCTAAGATGAAAGTGGACTGATGCCGTTTTTTTTTTTTATTTCATACTTGTTCATGCAAACGCTTTTCTGTAAACCTTTACGTCGCTCTCACTTTTGTATTGCATAGTCTGAAGTGCCCCCATGTTAAACTGGAAGTGCTACAGCCAACTGCTGCTACAGCTAACACTTAAAAACACCTCCCAAAATGTTATGTAAATGACTGTAATGCTAAATAATTAATAAAATAGTGTTTGTATGAACCATTTTAAACTTTTGAAGACTGGAGCTCTTCTACGATGGCAGCAATCCACTTTGGTTTCATGTGTTGAGACTAGCCATTAGCTCATCAGTTGAGAGCTACACACCACAGGTAAGATATTAACTGTCATAACCTTTCCCATAGAACCCCACTTCAAAAGATCTGAATTATCACAATGCAGATATGTTCCTGTTTTTAGTATTTTTACCTCATTTCATAATGTAGCTTGATTTTATTTTTGTTTTTACATCACAACTTCGATTTAATTTTTTATTTTATAGCTGTTTATTGTTGTGGTTATCTGTGGTTTTCAATCAGGTGTCTCTTGTAAATGAGTCCTTGTGACTCAGTGAGACTAACCTGTATAAATAAAGGTTGAATGAATGAATTTAACTTTTCTTTGTGTTGGCCTTTGATGTCTTTGACGTCCAAGTAATCATCTGTATTTTAAGGAACATTATTTGTATCTTATTAATTTTATTTTTACTTTAATTAGACTGAAGGGACTGAAGGGCAAATTTTCCAAAAAATATTTAGTTTTTTGGGGATTTTTTTTTTTTTGTGATGGCTTAGAGATGAAACATTTTCATTCTGTAGAAGAAAAAAGCAAACGACGCCAACAAAATGCTAAAATTAGTTCGTCAAATGTTGGGAGTTTAGCTACTGCTTTTGGTTTTTGCTCAAATTAAAAATTAGAGCCGTGTAGCAGGTGGGCGGAAAAGAGTGAACCCAAATTCAAAGCTGTGTGTTTAAAATAAACCGAAGCGGTTTGAGAGGCGCCGTCAGTTCCAGAAAATTCACCAACATTAGGCGAGCACCTGGAGATTTCAGCTCTGATGTGTCTGATAAGTCAAAACTGTTCTCTTGTTTTATCTCGTTCTCAGGGTTTCCTCCTGCAAATCTGAGAGGGGAGAACTGGGACGCACACTTTACCAGTTTGTGTGTTTGTGTGAGTGTAGAGTCAGTTGTGAGCTTCTCCTGAATGTTGTATTTCTTCGCAGCGGCCTGTCACCTTGTGAATACAGTAAGATCATAATCAGTGCAGTTCAGTTCTGTAAAACTAACAAGTTTGTCTCAAAGTGAAACTTTTGCTGGTTGAACAGAGCGGACCATTCAACGCCACGTCGTTTCAGAAGAAACGACAGGATCAGCACATGAGGAGACCCGCTTCTGGGTTCAACTAAGTCTAAACACGTCTGGAGTGACTCGCACAGAAAGAGCACTTTTCTGGTAGTTTGTGTGGTAAACACATGATGCGTTAAATGTCCTGAGCTTGTGTTCTTTTGTCTCGTTACTTAAAAAAAAGAAGAAAGTCAATTTGTTTTACTAAATTGATGAAACTGGATGTAATTATCGTGTTCGCTTGATGCTGTAATAAATTGCTTTTAGCCGCTGGGCAGATGATGTGAGCTGCATTTTTCTACCCATTATGACGACCCCGCTACACTCCATGACCTACACGACCTGTGAGAAACATCTGGAGCATCTGTATTTGGAAAACCTCTATCAGTGTGAAACCAAACAGGTCAATGTAACAAGCTAAGCCCTGGCCAATATATTTACATATATATATATATATATATATATATATATATATATATATATATATAATATATATATGTGTGTTTGTGTGTGTGTATTTATTTTCTGCATCCTGTTGCTCCACTGCTCTGAATACTTCAGCATCACATGACTACCAAACATGGCCACAGTCTCACACCTCGAGCCTCACCCTCGCACGACTCTCTGACTGCGTCAGGATGCAGCAACGAGCTAAAATATTAGCCACATTCGCATGACGTTATCATTTCAGGTGCGTGCTAAATTGGTTCCATGATTTTATCATGATCTGCTGAATTTTCCTGTTTATTTAGGAGCCTTCTGGGCCTCTTATATCAGTTTCAGTTTTACTGTAAAGGAAGAAACACAGCATGACTCCAGCAGGCTCAACCATAACAAGAAAAAGAGCTTCTTGATTCGTGTCCAAAGACAAATCAAGGACGGTTCTATTAGCTGTTGTAACATGGGGAGAGCTTGGCAGTCCTACTGGTTGTATTTAGAGCAGCAACGGGACGTGTGTAGCAGGAGAGCCACTAATAGAGCCATTATTTCTAACCCGGGCACGAAGCCCGACCCGAATTCAGGCTACGCCGGGCCATAATAATGTGCTGAATGGGCGGTCAGTGTTGGGCTTTCGATTGCGTCAGCTGACGCGTACGGCTGACGATCCAATTATATGGCAACATAGCTTGCCATACAATTGCCACCAGCGTTAAAAGAGGTAAAAAAAAAAAAAAAAAAAGTCCAGTTAAGCTTCAGAATCAGATGGAACTAGTGACAGGCAGCGATCCATCCAGCCTGCACTCTGTGGATGCGTGTGGCCGACGACCCAAACAGGTGAGATCACAAAATATCCTGCAGACATGTCAGAGCAGGGTCCAAGTCTGAATAATGCAGAATTCAGGCAGAACCAGGGACTTAATGCGCTTTGACAGCCATGAAAGGACAAACACCCCCTCAGCTCTGATCTTCTGCCCCCTTTACTCAGCTATACGCATCTGCCGACCGTTAATAACTATATAAGCAGTCAAAGCTTAATTAAAAATGTTGGGGGTGGAGGTTCGGACCTGTAATTACTGTTAATTCGTCAGGCCACGCTGGGTTCAGAAATGATGGCTACAGGCTGGGGCCGGGTCGGGTCGGATTTTATGGGCCCAAATGCAACTCTGGCCACTAAGAGTGTTGTAATAACTGACTGGGAGCATTCCCAGTATGGGTGTGATGGGACTAGCTGAAGCATGAGGTCAGTCCTGATTCAACTTGTCAACAAACAAAAGATGTCAGGTTATGCCGGTGCTGCATCCTGGTGACGCTCCTTGACCGATCGTGCTCCATCACCCTCAGCGATGGACCCACTGGTTCTAAGTACGTCCCTGAAGATCTCACCAAGGCCCTGCAAAGACCACGATCTGTCTGATTGTTGTATTGGGGTCATCATCCAGGATGGGGTCTCAACTCCAAACTAAAAAGCTTTGTGGCAGCTAAGCTCTACAGATTGCAGTGGTTGGCTGCTCTCACTCACTTTTTGAACCTTTATAAAAGACAACCTTAATGAGAAGATTAAACTGAAACACAGTGAAACACAACTGACTGATAATTATCTACCACGAGTGACTCAACTCAACTTTAACATTTTTATTGTAGATCAGTGCAGCTTTTACATTTGGCACCTATTGGGTTTTCAATTAACTTCGCTCTAAAATATCATTTCTAAATTCTGCCCCGCCAAATAAAGGTCACACTCAAATGTTTCGTTGGACCACCTTCAGCTTTGATTTCGGCACACATTCACTGCGGCATCATTTCCACAAGCTTCTTCAACATTTATCTCTGTCCAGAGTTACATCCATTTTTCACCAAGATCTTGTACCGATGACGGGAGATTCAGACCACTGCTCAAAGTCTTCCCCAGCACATCCCAAATATTCTCAAAGGGGTTCAGGTTTGGACTCTGTGGTCAGTCCATGTGTGAAAATGACGTCTTGTGCTCGCTGAACCACTCCTTCACAATTTGAGCCCGATGAATCTTGGTGTTGTCATCTTGGAACATGCAACATGGAATAACCAGGTCATTCTGTATTTTCAGGGATTCAGCAGACCTCGTTCTTTGGTAACATAATGTTGCTGAACTTAGACCAGACCGACTGCAGCAACCCCAGATCATAGTCTGCCCCCACAGGCTTGTACAGTATGCACTATAGGCACGATGGGTGCATTTCTTCGGCTGCCTCTCTTCTGATGCGCTCTCCCCACTGTCCTTCCAGTTTTTAATAATGCGTTGGACAGTTCTTAACCCGACTTTAGTAGTTTGTGCAAACTCCTTAGATGCTTTCTCTGATTGATGCGTGACAATAATTTGACCCTTCTCAAACAGATCAACATCTTCTCCACGACCACAGGATGTGTCTCTCCACATGACTGTTTAACAAATGAAAGCTTCTCACTGCATCAGTTAGGGTTAAATAACTGTCAGCTGAAACATAATTATCCATGCAGTAATTATCCAATAGGAGGCTCTACCTGTTAGTTAAATCCAGGTAGTGTCTTTTAAATTAATTAAAGTTAGTCATCTCATGTAAAAGAGTACTGAGGACAGCCTTGTGATAGAATATGAAGAACACAGTTGCTGGGCAGATCCTAAAAATAATCCTACTGTTATCAGAAAAAGAGTTTTGAGATTTATTTTTTTTTTTTTTACATAAAACCAAGAAGATGAAATAGTTTACAGAGAAAATGAGTTCAACTTTATTAAAGTGAACATTCAGTTGTAAATCATGTAAGAACACTTATAAATGTTTTAAAAGTTATGTACAGATGTCCTTCCTCCTTTGTTTTTATCATGTCCTTGTTGGTTCGTGCGCTCAGCTTTGAGTGTACATGTCTCCGTAGCCGCACTGCGACTCCTGGTGGCGCTGCAGGTCCGCCCTGCGCTGGAAGCTGTGCTGACAGCGTGAGCAGCTGAACGGGCGGTAGCTGCTGTGCTTTCGGCTGTGGGTGATGAGGTTGGAGCTTTGGCTGAATCCTTTCCCGCACACCTTGCACACATGTGGTTTCTCACCTGGTGAATAAGGCAGGACATGTCCTCAGGCTATTTCCATCTTGCAATGATCTTTTTACTGGTGCGCTCCCTCACCTGTGTGTATGAAGGTGTGTTTCTTCATGTCTGACTTCTGGTGAAACCTTTTGCCACAGTACAGGCAGGGGTAGGGCCTCGTGTCCGAGTGGATGAGGAGGTGAGTAGACAGGGTGGACGAGCGCTTGAACACCTTTCCACACACCTTGCAGCTGAAGCTACGCTCCTGGACAAAACTTTGAATCAGTCATAACTGAACCAAAGTACAAAACAAGGTCTTTTCACTTGACGTACCTTTGATCTGCTGTAGCTGCCACCTGCTCTGAATCCAAAGGTCACGAGGTTCATGTCTGCATCTGTGAACGAGCTCGACAAAGGTGCAGAGAGGGCGTTGCAAAGCTGATCCTGAAGATGACCTCCTGACATCAGGGCTTCTGAAAGTGTCTGCAGAAATAAGTTCAAGTTGATGTAAGTGGTTAACACGTTCCCTATAAGGAGCTTCAAGATGGGTCAGATTACTCTGGATTTAAAATCAAGGCCCTAAATCTGCTATTCTGAGTGTTTACATTTTGTTTGTGCTCATTAAAGAATCAGGAATATGTTTTTTCATCCATCCATCCATTTTCTTTACCCGCTTATTCCATTTTGGGTCACGGGGGTCGCTGGTGCCCATGTCCAGCAATCACTGTGCGATGGGCGGGGTACACCCTGGATGGGTCGCAAGTCCATCACAGGGCCACATAGAGATAAACGAGACAAACAACCATTCACTCTCTCACTCACACCTAGGGACAATTTAGAGTTACCAATCAGTGTAACATGCATGTTTTTGGTATGTGGGAGGAAACCGGAGTACCCGGAGAAAACCCACGCATGCACGGAGAGAACATGCAAACTTCACCCAGAAAGGCCCCTGGACCGGGGTTTGAACCAGGGACCTGCTCGCTGAGAGGCAGCAGCTCTACCAGTTGCGCCACCGTGCTGCCCATGTTTTTTTCATTAAGCAGTTTAATTTTTTAAAAATGTTTATAATTATTCAAACCAAATGGTTTTCATAAGAACAACAGTTCCACCACAAAAAGTGAATATTTTTGTATTAAGGTTTTATTTTTTGTGTTTTGGACGACGCATTTTTAAAACTGGAAAATACATTTCTAACAATGAGTCCATAAAGTTTACTTTTAATTTCACCCTTTTTCCCCCCCAGTCTGATTAAAATCAAAGTCAAACTGAATTATTCTTGATTCATAATTAGAAACAAACAAACAAAAAAATTGTTGTTATTAACAAAACTATGCCTCTGTGATAGAAAAATGTTTCTTTGACATACTGTATAGTAAAATATATTTACATTTAGTCACCAAAACATACTTTAAAAGTGTATAGTTCTAAGATTTTAACATTTCCGGTGTAATCAAAATGTAATTTTAAATGTAATGGAGGCAGATACTTTCTGTAATTTGTGTTCCCTGGCAGCCACCAAGAATGAAATATTACACATTTTTTAAGTTTAAAGTTTAAACCAGACATTTTAAAGATGATTGTTTTGTGGAAAACATATAAACTATTAGTATCTTGTTTGTTGTAGATAGCTTTTTGACTGACTCAATTTGGATAAAAAGGGTTTAACTTTCTCCAACGGCTGAAATCAGCTGCATCCAAAACAAATGTCTGCAATCTTAAAACAACTCGTCTCCAAAGTTTTAGAGCGTACACGTCAAAGCAATTTTATAAACGTTTTTACATAATAATTTTCACACCCCTCAATAATTTATGTCACAATATGTGGTTATTTAAAAGCACAATTAGCTGCAGCTAGCTGAATGCAATGACAAGCTAATAATGGCTAGTATCCATGTGTCATCTTAAATCAACTTTTGTCTTCATAAAGCTCCATGTGGAGACGGTTTTATAAACCTTTGCACCACCATCTGTTGTTCTGACAGAAACATCCTGGCTGCACTGAAAGTTTAGCAGCCAGGCTAGCTGCTGCCGCCACCGTGCTTTCAAATAAATGCACAATTTTATGCAAATAACCAAACATTGAGACGCAGGTAGTTGTTTAACAAAAGTTTGCATAAGTTGCTGTGACATGTTCAAGGATAGAGCAATCCACTTTGGTCTTAGCTGGGCTCAACTAGCCGTTAGCTTGATGAACTTAAACTTTGCTTCTTCAAAATGAATGGCTTTCAAAGAGCTATTTACAACGATTTGGATGTTAATTGTTCTTTTTTACTCACAGGAGCTCACTTCAAACAGTCTCAACTCACCATAACTGTTTCCCACAGTCTGTGCAGTGAGATGTTGTCATTTCTGGACTATTGAGCGCACCTGAATATAAGCCGCGCACGCTAAATTTAAAAAGAAAATTAAAATTTTACAAAAACAAAAAACAAAGCAATGCTTTGTTTTTTGTTTTTTTGTTTTCTTGTTTTTTGAATGTCCAGAGGACCAGATTGAACTTTTTTTGGATTTTTCTACCTGGATTATTGAGCATGTATCAGGATACAGTAGATGTTTGTTTGTTTTCTGAACAGTGCCTGTAAGGAGGCTGATTAAAAAAAAAGTACAGTAGTTTACCAGGAAGTCATTGATCACTACCCTCCAAGAGAGACGTGTATTGGGCAGCTATGTGAGCACCTGGGTGTGATGAAGCTAAAAGTTTTGGCAGCATGAAGCTCGTTAGCCCATCAAGAAAAATTATTCCTATTTGTGTACATAAAAAAAAAAAAAGAAGACTGCAGCATGACTTGTTATAACTGTTTATTGTTGCTGTTGTCCATTGTTGTCATCTTTCTTTGTTGAAATCAGGTCTCTCTTGTAAATGAGTCCTCGAGGCTCAATGGGATTACCTGTCTAAATAAAGGTTGAATGAATAATCCATAAATTAGCCGCAGCATTATAAGATGCCGTGTTCAAAGCGTGTGAAAAAAGTAGTGACTTGTATTCTACATCATTAAACTGATATTTTTCAAATTCAGTCATCTTCTTGAAATCTATTTCCTATCACATTCTTTAATTTGTATTTTTTTTATCCCTCATCATCGTTTGATCCCCTTTCTTATCTTGAATGAGTAAAGAAAGTGCAGGCATGAGGTCAATCCCACCTTTTCACAGAGTGGACACTCTCTGGTGGGTGATTTGAGGTCCGTATGTGAGGTGTGGTTGAGCAGCATCAGCACCAGTCGCTCCAGTTCCCTCTCTCGGTCCGATCGATGGCTGTCTGATGGCCACGATGAAACCAGTTGAGGAAAATCTCCTTTCTCCACCGTGGCTTTGGTTAGAAAATAAAAGCATGAGGAAAATAGTGATACAGCAGCCTTAAAGACCTGAGCAACTCTTTCAGTCATTCATCAACATATTTCAGTTTTCTACCTGAAGGCCAGAGCTGTTCTGTAAGGACTCTTTGTGAGCAACCTGGCACCCCATCCCTCAGCGAGCACGGTTCAGGCGCAACGTCTCTGACCCCAAGCACGGGGGACAAAGGCTGCAGAGTGTCTTCAGGGTTTCCACTCTCCTGCTCCGTCTTCTCGTCATCTGTTTGAGACCGTCGTCTGAAGCAGACCTTAGGTGAGCTGAGTGGATGGGTCCTTTTAGTCCTGACGAGGAACGAGCGCGGCATGGTGTCTGAGGGATCTGACGGGGATAAAATGCTGCTCTACAAATCTGCAGGAGTCTAAGTCGACTCTTTCATGTCACTTTTGGAGCCTGGCGCACTCAGATGCCGCGCACCTGTTGGTGCATCTTCAGTTAAAATGCCAAAGCTTGAGGTTTCCTCAACAAACGCAGCACCTGCACAAAGCTTGTAGGGCTTTCACGGTGGATAACCCTGCTGTGGTGTCAAACAGCTAAACCCACCGCTGCTGCTTCTCATTCCATCTGCATATTTATAAGAGCAGAGAGACGCAAAACTTAAATATAAGGCTTTCAAATTTTCCAAATTATGCAAGTTTATGTAGCAAGAACTGAACTTTTTAACACCGTTGCAAATGACTGAAGATTAACTATATATTAAACATGTTGTTGCACATTTGTCAACAGAATATGAGTTGAATAATATGTTAGATTTAAAGTTAAAAACTGAATCAAAGATTTAACATGGGCTGTTTTCATCATTTCGTTTATTAAACTTCTAATCCTAATCTTGAGTAAATCAAATTTACACCAAAATCCCTCTGAAATTTAACTGCTTTAATATTTTTTCTAAAAAAAAATACAATAAAGCTCGATTTAAAAAAGTCTATAATTTATGCAAACATTGACCAATCTGAGAGCACAGCGAGAGGCAAAGTGTGGATCTTACCTCAGTAGACGCAGCTGAATGTTGACGGTGTCTTGTGTCCTCTTGCGGGGGACGTCCTCATTCGTCTTCTTCACACCCATCAGCTCATGACATGTCTCCAAGTGATTTGATCAGGTTATAAAAGGCTGCAGTGGGTCTGTTCACTGGAAAGGAAGTGAAACTCCTTTAATAATTCACATAATGGTAAAGGAAATCAAAAACAGTTCTGTCATGAAAGCATCTCACCAAGTTTCATCTTGATAAGTTTCCTGTAAAGCACTCTTTAAAAGCAGAGCTGCATGTTAAAGGTTGTAACGGCTAAAGTGAATAAAGATGTCGTGATACCACACTAAAGTGTCCTTTTTTCTTTCTCACGTTCAAATGTGGCACCATTCTACCACGACTGGATTCCCTCTGCAGTGACTGTTCATGTGGGTGGATTCAGATACGCTGAGCATCGTTTGGAAAGTCTGAATACCTCTCCGTTCTCATGTGAACATGTAAACCTGTAGTTACAGGTGGGATAGTTTTAGGCTTGTTGCATGCCATTAGTGGAAATACCCTTTACTTTAATTGTCTGTCCTGGGTATTATTCATGCTTCTCATGAGTCATTTGTCAGGTTAGGTCTGTTCAAATAACTTTATTAACAAGACTGTTCAGCTGATCTGAGTCTAAAATGTCCCTGAACGTTTCTTATTTTCATTTGTTGAAATTTCCTGCTAAACTAAATTTTTACAATCAATATTAGCTGACATGCACCGAAGCGCCTGTGTTCTTGTGCACCCTTTATTCTTAGGTTTTTGTCATGAAAATGAATTGCAACTCCTCCTGCAGCATTGGAAATACAAGGAAAGGAAATCAAGAAAAATATGATTTTTTTTAGCAGCAGTCGATGTGTTTGACGTGGACAAAACAGGAATTTCAACTGTTTTTTTCATACGCAGCGATGAGATTCTGGAGAAAGAAAAGAAGCTCACTTTGAGCTCTACAGCTCAAATAAACTCGTAGTAAAAACATAATTTATTATTTAATCGTGTCAGAAAATTGTTCTTTATATGTCTGAACCTGCATTTTGATATATTTTATAGGTTTTTACACAATTACAGATTATTTTTTATAATTTTTAGAGATTTGACTACAGATTTGATGATATGATGTACTGTGTGATGATGTCACACACTAACCTTTGAACTTTGTACCCACAAATGTTACACTTTTTAAGCAGTATATACAAAATAAAAGTCCCGAACTACCGTTGGGCTTTAAAGAATAAAGCTGATGCATGCTGGGACTGTGGGCAGAGATCATCACCAAAATTTATGTCAAGATCTGTGGTTTTGCATCGTTCTTGTTTTCTGCTTTGCTTTATTCTTGTTGTTTTTCTTGTTTTCAGTGTCTCCTTGAGTTATCAGCCATTTTCCATCACCTAATATTCTCACCTGCTTTCCATGTTCATCAGAAGTGTCTACTTTAATCACTCCTCCCAGCATACTTTAACTTCCGGTTCTCATTCACTCTTCAGTCTGCCATGCTGTTTGTTTGCCTTTCCCTGTGTGTGCCTTGTTATTACTTTTGCATTTGCTTGTTGCCCTTTCAGCTGTTTATTCTTGTGATGAAAACTCTCATTTGTTTTCTAGTCCTTGTGTAGCAGTGACGGTAGTCTCTCACTACTTTGCGGTTCGTGTTTCGTGGACTCGCTCTATTTTTTCAAAGTAAGATTGGACATGACACACAATTGGCTGATTGATGGATGAGCCACTGCAGCTGATCAGCTGATCTCTGCAAAGCAGAGAAGTGGGCGTGGCCGAGAGTGCGGCCATAGGTAGGGAGCTGAAATCATGACATTCTGTGCTCTTTTAGAGTGTTTAGAGTTTAAAAACATTGTTTAGAATAATGCAAGAGTGTGGGAAGGGTTTAAAACACCTTTATATATATAAACAGTGAGGAAAATAAGTATTTGAACACCCTGCGACTTTGCAAGTTCTCTCACTTAGAAATCATGGAGGGGTCTGAAATTGTCATCTTAGGTGCATGTTCACTGTGAGAGACATAATCTAAAAAAAATCTGGAAATCAATGTAAGATTTTTTTAAATAATTTATTTGTGTGTTACTGCTGCAAATATTTGAACACCTGCCAATCAGCAACAATTCTGGCCCCCAAAGACCTGTTAGTCCGTCTCTAAAATGTCCACCTCCACTCCACTTATTATTCTAAATTAGAAGCACCTGTTTGAGGTCGTTAGCCGTATAAAGACACCGGTCCACCCCACACAATCTGTAAGACTCCAACTACTAACATGGCTAAGACCAAAGAGCTGTCCAAAGACACCAGAGACAAAATTGTAGACCTCCACATGGCTGGAAAGGACTACGAGGCAAATTCCAAGCAGCTTGGTGAAAAAAGATCAACTGTTGGAGCAATTATTAGAAAATGGAAGAAGCTAAACATGACTGTCAATCTCCCTCGGTCTGGGGCTCCATGCAAGATCTCACCTCGTGGCGTATCAATGATCCTAAGAAAGGTGAGGAACCAGCCCAGAACTACACGGGAGGAGCTGGTCAATGACCTGAAGAGAGCTGGCACCATTGGTTCCAAGATTACTGTGGGTAATACACTAAGACATCACAGTTTAAAATCATGCATGGCACGGAAGGTTCCCCTGGTTGAATCAGCACACGTCCAGGCCCGTCTTAAGTTTGACCATGACCATTTGGATGATCCAGAGGAGTCATGGGAGAAAGTTATGTGGTCTCATCTGACCACATAACTTTCTCCC